AAGTGACTCAAAGTGAGCTCGGTACGTCTGACAAGAGCAAGAGAAGTCATAAGTAAGTTTCCATGTTTATTTAGTGTCAAAAAGGGACTTCTAAACGGTATTTGTCCATTTCTATCACAATAGCAATCCTTTTTAAATGAAATACACATTGTTTTGTCTTCAAACTTCGAGTTTATCCGCCTGATAGTGGATTTAAACTACCTCCGGACATCGGATAAATTTATCCAACGGATAGTGCATTTTATCCGTTGGATAGCGCTATCCAAGCTTCGTACAACGCGAATTTCACTCCGGATAAAATTTATCTGCTGGATAGGGACTTATCCACCGGATAGCGATTTATCCACCTTTCGTACAACCGGCCCCAGCACTCTTAATTCCTGACTATCAGACATTTTAGCAAAAAATAGCATGAATGTGCTATTGATAAATTTTTAATATTAGTCAAAAGATTCACACCGTACCTTAAGATAAAAAAGCTTTTGCCGTTACAATTCCCGCTCATATGAAAACAATTTTGTTGAAAAAAAAAAGAAAAAGAAACTGCAACCATGCAGAAAGGCCCCAACCATGCAGAAAGCTAGGTTTTCTGAAACTACCTTCCCAGATCAGTTTCCAGCACCCTCAGCTATATAAGTGGTACATATTACAAAACCTAATTCCCTCTTTCAGTATGAAAGATAGTCTGACTGGCACATGATCATAGTTTATGTCTGTTTATAAAACGAGACCTCAGGAGTCAACCTTTTAAACATTATTACACTAGACAGTTCGCACTTTAAAGACCGTCGTAATCCTCGTATATGTGACCATAGACAATCCAGAAGACAATTCTGAAGACTGTCTTCATTTCAGAATTCAGAAGACTGTCTTCTGGATTGTCTATGATGTGACTGAATATCGATCAAAGGCTCAAAGCTTCGTAGTTTGTAACCAAATATTTTGCGATTGTGAATCACAGCTTGCTAAAATAGTGGGAAATTTTACACTTCAGCATGTGTATTGCATAGGAAGTTGTTTTATTAACAAATAGAGTGTCAGTTTCATCTTTATGCTTCTCAATTTCATGTCAAATAAGGTAAAGTCTAAATGTTAAAAAATTGAAAAATATCCGTACCCCCCCTGTCGAGGATACATGTTTTTCATTGTCATACCCCTGAAGAATTCCAAGCTCAAAACTGTTTACCCCTGAAGAATTCCAAAATTCCAAGCTCAAAACCCTTTACCCCTGAAGAATTCCAAGCCCAAAACCTTTTACCCCTGAAGAATTCCAAGCTCAAAACCCATCACCCCTAAAGAATTCCAAGCTCAAAACCCTTTACCCCTGAAGAATTTCAAGCTCAAAACCTTTTACCCCTGCAGAATTCCAAGCTCAAATCCCTTCACCCCTGAAGAATTCCAAGCTCTGAAAAATTTCAATCTCAAACCTCTTTACCCCTGAAGAATTCCAAGCTCAAAACCCTTTACACCTGAAGAATTCCAAGCTCAAAACCATTTACCCCTGAAGAATTCCAAACTCAAAACACTTTACCCCTGAAGAATTCCAAGCTCAAAACCCTTTACCCCTGAAGAATTCCAAACTCAAAACACTCTACCCCTGAAGAATTCCAAACTCAAAATCCTTTACCCCTGAAGAATTCCAAACTCAAAATCCTTTACCCCTGAAGAATTCCAAGCTCAAAACACTGTACCCCTGAAGAATTCCAAACTCAAAATCCTTTACCCCTTAAGAATTCCAAACTCAAAACACTGTACCCCTGAAGAATTCCAAACTCAAAATCATTTACCCCTTAAGAATTCCAAACTCAAAACACTCTACCCCTGAAGAATTCCAAACTCAAAATCCTTTACCCCTGAAGAATTCCAAGCTCAAAACACTGTACCCCTGAAGAATTCCAAACTCAAAATCCTTTACCCCTGAAGAATTCCAAGCTCAAAACACTCTACCCCTGAAGAATTCCAAACTCAAAATCCTTTACCCCTGAAGAATTCCAAGCTCAAAACACTGTACCCCTGAAGAATTCCAGGTATCCTCGACAGGGGGGGTACGGATATTAAATGGAATAGCCCATTACTATTTCACTAACAAAAATTTACATACATACAAATTTGCATGAACAAATTTATATTCCCTGACCCCAGCGTAAATGCAAATTTAATATAAGTCGATTAAAAATTCTTACCTAACAGGAACATTAGGCCCAGATCTTTCAGTTTGGCTCTTGGAGAACTGCAGTTTTGAAAATTCGCACGTTGGCAGCACGATGCGCCAGTAGATGCAACGGCGCAGTCTTTCTTCAGTGATAAATTCATCATATTGTTGCCTCAAGAGCGATAATTCCCCTGAAATATGTTCGCTTAGGTTTGCTTGTTGAAAGATTTCGACGAGCTTGCTAAGAACATCGACTTTTTTTAAAAGCTTCCATCCTGATAGCATCCATGTAGCTTGTGATGTATTATTCTTTATCCCGTCAAGTCGACAAGTATCGAACTTTATTGTTGATCATTTGTATTGCGCAATCAAAACAGAGCCACCGTGGCAGACCGTGGCACACATGACCACAACTTGCCCTGTGATTGGTTTGCAACGCTGCACCGTGGCAGAAAGTTACTATATTTAGTAACAATTGCGCAATTTTTTGCACGCTGACCGTGGCATTTTGTGGCTGTGATCGCAGCTTCGAATTTACGACTGTTTTCCGAACATATTCGGCACAATTCGGCACGCTTTCGGCGGTTTTTATAGTTCAGTGTTCAACTGGATAATTATACTATTGAACAAGGAATATATTTCGGAAGTTTTTTCCTGCTTTTAGCACATATTACTGTAATATGAGAACAATTACAAAAGATATTATTCAAATTGTTTGCTATAGACCTATATTTGCTCAATTTTGCTGCATTTCAAATAACTAATATATACTTCTTAAAAATGCGTAATGCAGTCTAATGCAGTATCCAACAAAGGTGAACCCCGGAAAATCCTGGGTGGGAAAAATCTGACCGTGGCTCGAGCCACTTTTGCCACGGTCTGGATCCGCGCCTGTATATGCCATTTACATGACAAACTTGTACCCTATTTGTCAAGTAGGATTCAACCCATTCCAAACTACATTCTTTCAAACCATAACATGCAAGTTTCATTTGCAAAATTGCATGATCAATGGTGTCAAAAGCCTTCTTTAGATCAAGAAAAATCACACCGTTTAACATCCCTTTATCAATATTAAAACACCATTGATTTGTCATATCCAGCAAGGCTGTCATGGTAGAGTGAAGTGAACGGAATCCAGATTGACGGGTATTGATTAGTCTATGTTTAGATAAATAAGCATACACTTGGTTATACACAAGGCGCTCAAAAAGACGTGCAATTGAAGATAACACCGAAATAGGCCTATAATTATTTGCATTATCCCTTTCCTCTGTTTTATGTAATGGAAAGACTTTTGCAATTTTCCACCTTGTCGGAAATTTATTTGTTGTAAGAGAAAGATTGAACAAATTTGTCAAAGCTTCATAAATATAAGGACCAGATATTTTTAATAATCTATTTGATATTTTATCACAGCCCGAAGCTTTACGCAAATTTAATTTGTTTATTAATTTAAAGACGTCTTTAGAATCTATCTTTTGAAATTCAAATGATGATTCAACCTGGGTCATGTAATCCTTAGCTGTTGCAACATTGCCTAAAAGGGGAACATTGGAGGCCAATTTCGGACCAATTCCAACGAAATGTTTATTAAGCGAATTTGCAATGTCAAATGACTCGGTTAAGATTTCTCCTGAGTCAGATGACAGCGTGTTTATTTCGATGTTATCCGATTTCTTTCCCAACGCATTATTTAAAATTTTCCATGTTTCTTTAACATTATTTACATTTCTGTTGAGTTCGTCTTGAAAATATGCCTTTTTCGCTTTTTTGATCTTATTATTTACAAAATTTCTTTGCTGCTTATAAGCAGACAAAGATTCAGAATTATTGGATGAAATAGCCTTTTTCTTCAGTTTATCTCTATTTATCATTAAATATTTGAGTTCTGAATTAAGCCAAGGACTAGGTTTATTACGAACTCTGAAACTACGTACAGGCGCGTGTTTCTCAATCACTTCACTAAAAACAGATGTCCATGTATCGCATGCATCATTGACATCATCAAACTCATTAATTATAGGCCAATGAGCAGATTTTAGGTCCTTTATGAATTTAGATTCACTAAAGTTTTTAAAGTTTCGACATTCAATATATCGTGGTTTACCATTACGTATGCCGATTTTCCGTACTGCGTAAATTAAATAATGGTCACTTATTGACAGAGGGTAAACTCCCGAATTGATAATAGAATCAGATTTGTTAGTAATTATTAAATCAATCAATGTTTGCGAAGTGCTATTTACTCTGGTTGGGTCAACAATGATTTGATTCAGTTGATAGTTAACTAATAAATTATTAAGGTGTTGTGTATGACACTCAGGGGGATTTAATAGATAATTACAATTCAGGTCACCTAAAATGTAAATTTCTTTGTATTTACTATCAATTGTTTTGTAAAGATTCTCAAATTGCTCAAAACATTGTAAAGGACCTTTCGGTGGTCTGTACCACGCTATAATAAGAAAAGGTTGAGAATAAGGCTTTATAACCTCAATTACAATAATTTCCAAATTTTGATCTTCTAACTCAAAGCGCCTTTTGTAGTTTATTGAGTTACGAATATAAACGCAGACCCCTCCACCATGTTTATTACGATCTCTTCGTTCTACTATATAGCCAGTTAATGCAATAAGATCGTCAGCATCATCCTGGTCTAATTTGGATTCATTAATTGCAAACACATCAATGGGTTTGTGCATCATTAATACCTTCAACTCGTCAATGTGTTTGTTTAGACTGTTTATATTTAGTGATGCCATTTTGAAGCCTCTACAACTAGACATAATTTCGTCAAATGACTGATTGTACGATTGTGAGGATTCATCATGGCTCTTTTCAGTATCTGTGCCAGCTAGATCTCAATCAGTATTTATAAATTTTCTAAAATTAGCAGCTAAAGTGATTGTTCCATTCAGATTTAAATGAAGGCCTCCTGCATTTAGCATGTTCTCCTTTAAATTGTCATTACAAATAAAATCAAAGTTATAATTAGAACATTGATGTTTTAAGCTATCATTCACTTGATTGATCTTGGAGTTTAGCGATATATTATCAGATCTATGAATTATAGATGAAATGGCTATATCTACTGTAGGCTGCTCCTTCTTAATATTATATGCTAAATCAACAATCTTTCTGCTTAACTGTTTTGGTTTGTCATGTCGGAGGTTGTTGGTGCCAACATGAATACTATTTTTTTGGGGATTTTTTCTAATGACAGATTTAACAAAATCACCCATGTCAGCCACCGTGGCACCAGGATAGGTTATAGTGGTTACCTTATGCTTTTTTGACAGCCTCCTTCCTTGTACATATTTGATCATGGAGTCTCCCACAACAAAAACATCACCTCCTGTTCTGTCTGTACCAGATGTATGTACTGAGTGAGCTTTAATTCCTTTCTCGACTTCGCGATCGCTTCTTACGCCGTTGTTGCCTTCTGATGTGTTCGTATGTGTTGGTGATTGAGATTTAGTACTCAAATTCCTTTCACGAGATGCAATTTTAGTTTTGCCGTTTAACGCTTCGCCTTCGGTAGATGATTCGCCATTTTGTTTCGGTTTACTAGCTTCATTAAAATTAGTATGATTTTCTTCAGATGACTTGAAGTCTTTCATCAACAACCTTAAAGTTGTCAATAGACTGTCTCGCTCCTCCTTCATAATTTTGTAGCTGGAGAGTAGATTATCGTAAGAGATTTCTTGAGATCTTGAGTTTACTTTGCTCTCTAGAATGTCTAACCTGTGAAGTAACGATTCAATAACCAATTTAGTTTGTCGACAATCATGACAAGTGAGGTTGAATTGCGAAGTTTTCTCATAACCCAATTGAGAATTGACATTTGCTGCCGCATCATCAACAGAACCGAGATCATCAATAGAGCAAACGGAATTCACTCGACCTTCGCATTCCGTTTCGTCTTCGACATTAATTTGTTGTTGATCTTGTACAGAAATATTACTTTCTGCTGAAAATTGACTCAGTAAATATAAGTCAGATAAATTCTTTTTGACAACATCTTTCATCACACCTTGCACGTTAACTGTTTTTAGATAGATAGATTGTAGAAGGTTAAAAATTCCTTTTCGGCAAGTTTGGCACGTTTTAGTTTTCTCAGGAAATACAACCGCGTGGAAGCTTTTTCAACAATATGATGGTTCCATTTAAGATTATTGGAAATGTTCAGACCCAGTAATTTGATGGTAGTCACAATTTCTATTGGTTTATCATTCAGATAACAATAAGTGCATATTCAGGGTGATTTTTTGTAAAAGAGATCGGAAGCTCTTTGTATTTCTTCTCATTAAACTGGAATTTGTTCCTACACGCTTTCTCCGTTAGACTAAAGTTCATTTACTATATTCGGGATCTTGTTTGTCTCTCCTTTTCCTACCATCTCAGCGGCTTTGGTATCGTTCACGTATTTCCACAAGTCGGTATTGGTGGTGTCTATATCGTCAATCATCAACACGAACAACCAAGGCCCTAACTTTGTTCCTTGGGGAACTCTTGCCGGCACATTTTTCCATTCCGATTTACAGTCCTGTGACAATTTTACCCATTGTTTGCGGCAAGTAGTAGTGTATGTAGAATTGGAGAATTATCTAGTAATAAAATTATCACCTGTGGAGTGCCCCAGGGATCTATACTGGGACCACTGCTGTTCCTATTATATATTAATGATTTGCCCGATTGTTTGAAATCAACTAATCCATGCATGTACGCGGATGATACTCAAATCTTTTCATCTTCCTACGATGCAAATGAACTTGTTGTAAATTTAAATTCAGATCTTGCCCATGTCTGTAACTGGCTTAAAGAAAATAGGCTGCAGATGCATCCATCAAAATGTAAAATGATGTTTATTGGCTCCCCGTATAATCTTAATAATATAATGTGTGAGGAACCCGTTGTGGCTAATGCAAAACCCATATCACGAATTGCTACACAAATGTGCCTAGGAGTAAAACTAGATGAAACCCTTAATTGGAATAGTCACATTGAAATGATATGCAAGAAGGCGAGCGCTGCTATTGGCGCTATGAAACGTATAAAGCCCTTTGTTCCAATGCATACCTTAGAATCGATTTATAAAAGTCTTGTGCAGCCCTACTTTGATTATTGTTCCCCCCTTTGGGACACTTGTGGTACGTTGCTAAGAGACAAGTTGCAAAGATTTCAGTCTCGTGCAGCAAGAGTCCTAACGGGTGCTAATTATGATACTCGCTCAGCTGATCTTCTCAACATGCTTTCTTGGGATACACTTAAAAATAGGCGGTCTGGTGCCAAGTCAGTATTAATGTATAAAATACTTAACGACCACACTGCGCCAGGTCTCCGGGGGTCATTCGTGAGAAGAGAAATAGATCAAACTAATTATCATCTTCGAAAAACAGCAACTGATCTAACAATTCCTAAACCGAAACGAGAATTTCTTAAAAAAAGTTTTAAATATAGCGGCGCTATGCTCTGGAATCAACTCCCAAACGAAGCAAAATTGGCCGAGTCGACTCATTCGTTTAAATCAATTGTTGGACAGCGACATGCTTCCTAATTATTTGTATATAGTAACGTGTACAGTATGTGTGTACTAATATTTAGTTTAAATTTTCCTTTTAATGATTTTTAAGATCTAAACACGCCCCCCATGGAAACCAGCCTAGAGCTGATGGGGCTAGCGTGTTCTTCTTTCAGTTAATTTTAAATAAAGTATTACCTACCTACCTACCTACCTACCTTGTCTTTGAAAACCAAGCGAAATTGTATTGTTGATAACATTGGTATCATTGGTTTTCTCTTTTTCGGCCGTATACCAGTGGATTCGTCTTACTTCTCTCTTCATTTTGATAGTATTTTGAGCCGAAAGCCCCAAAATAGCGTACTAAATATAACTTAACTTGTAGGGCCTACCGCACTTTAGTACTGTGGTAAGCCTTTTGCGCTCGTATTCGACTTTTCCGCTTAGTAATGTGCGTATATGTATGACTTGTATAGCCCCAGCGAGTTAACGCTCCGCAGAGCGTCTTTGTTAGATTGCAAACGTCACGCAATGCTTTTGCATAACAATACCTCCTAAAACCCGGCCTACCAAGCTGTTTCCTTCTTCTTTGTTTGATGGCTGAGAATGATGGCTGCACAAATATATTGGATTGGCGAAAAGGTGTGCATGATCAACAACGTAACACGAGTGTTTGACCACGTACGAAATTGGTTGACACAAAAACCTAGTGCGTAATGAAGTTCCAGTCAGCGTAGGGTTAACCTCCGTTCTTTGTTACTAATGGATTAAATGCAAAGGAAATAATAAACAACGAACCTGGACTAATAAAATTGACAGGAAAAAATTTAGAAAATAAATAAGATTGTGAACACTGAGTAATACTCATATGTATGGTATATCGTAATTTCTCTGTTTAGCAGCCTCTCCCCCCCTATTCCCAAACCCTTTCTCCTGTAACCAATTAATTAATGTATAAAACCGTGAAGCATGGAAGTTTTGTATTTGAAAGATAATTACAGTACTGATACATACAGTACCCGATGTTGCATATTTAAAGAGAATCAAACGTGCAAAACACTGTACATACAGTGGCGGCGCCAAGCCTCAGAATTTAGGGGGGTGGGGGCATTTGAGGGACAAACTCATATTTGGGGGGGGGGAGGGCAAGATAGAATTTTTAAAATGGTACTGCTATTTGCCCATGCCGTTGCCACAGGACTTTTGTCCCCCCCCCAGGAGATTCGCCCCCCTCTCAAAAGGGGCCGATATTCCTAGGATTAACCCCCCCCCCCGGGGGACGACTATCCTAGGAATATCGCCCCCCCAGAGGGGCAAATGCCCCAGGAATATCCCCCCCTTTAGGATATTCGCCCTCCATATATGCGATGTGGTTTATTCAAATAATTTCGTGATACTTTCATTTTATTACCCAGCGGGCAAAATGACGTATATCCAACGTTGAATCAACGTTGGAAATGACCTTCCAGACGTTGGATAGACGTTGAAAAAGGGTTGACTATGCAAGTTGGATCGACGTTACTGTTTCGACGTTGAAACAACGTTGAAATTAGGTTGCCAATGTCGTCAACCATAATTCAACGTTGAATCAACGTTAAAACAACGTTGAGATTGGTTCACAAATCGACGTCGTTCATTTAACCATGAATGAACGTTAATTCAACGTCTGTTGGTTCCTGTTGAACCAATGTTTGTAAAACAACGTCAGAGCAACGTAGATATTAGGTTGTCGACGTCGCAACCTTTTTTCTATCAAATTTCAACGTTGAAACAACGTCGTGTGCCCGGTGGGTAGTGCCTTAAGGTGGCTCCCTACAGTTCTCTAAAATTCTAGGTATTTTGAGTATCGTTCGCTTTGAACCGAATTTGTATTAGATACACTTACGACAAGGAAATATGATCATTTCCAGGAAAGTTCAGAAGCTGTGTGCTGTCCATTTATGAACAAATTAAAAGAGTTTTTGTGTTGCCATGGTAACCATGACGTTTAATCTTTTGCACTTTTATTGTCTAATTTCAGAATAAATTGACAATATCTATATTTTCCTTCGGTGAATTTCTCCGAATTTTTTTTTTAAGATTTTTGGTTCATAAAGGAAAAACATATCAAAATTTGAAGGGAATTTACAAATAAATTTTCGAGATATCCGTGAATGACGGTTACAGAAAAAATTATTTGTAGGATTTCTTAAAATTTGGATATGTTGTACCACTCGTCTTGCATAACAAAAATACAAAGTTTAAAAAAATTTCACCGAAGAAAACACGAGAAAATCATCGCTAAAATCGGCGTGGCCAGCATGAAAAAAAATCGACTTGAGCACGATCTGCGCATGCGTGTAAATTGTAGCGTGTGATTTATAGTGATTTCAACTTTTTGGCTTACAATACATAAGAAAACAGATACAGTTTCTGACTTGTTTGACATGAAAATAAAATATTAATCTTGAAAATACTAATAAAAAACACTATTATTGGCACTTGTATTAAATCCAGTGTTAAAACTACATTTGTTTTTGTTGTTAAAATCGGTGTGAAAACTTTTCAAAACATCGAACTACAAGTTCAACTTTTCATATAAAACAACTCATAACTGTTTTATTTGATTTAGCAGATAAGACGATACCTGTAAATTGAATTGATTGACAGAACTTATATAAGTTTCGGCAACAGTTCACTACTGTTCAAGAGTTAATAGAAGACAGTATCATTTCAGTTTGACAGCTCGCAAAACAACAAGTTGAAAATTTTGAGCAATATGAAAGACAATACTGAACGTAAATACGTAAAAACACACTAAAAGATAGGTTAAACTAGTTAATAACATACGTACTGTTCGAATTCAGAAAAAATTAGGATTATAATGAAAAACTGGGGTTTTCTTTGTAGATAAAAAACCCCAAAAACCTTCCCACGGCTAATTGTTTCAATATTTTTGCCGAACAGTAAACACGATTACACGCGCAGGTCGCGAGGATGAAGTCTGATCTATATAAATCGTATTTAAAGTGTACTAACTGTAGGGAGCCACCTTAATTAAGGGCCATACAGACCGGACGCTATTTGCCAACGCGACGCGAATTTTCAGTTTTCAATGACATTTAACTTTAATATTTTTCATTGTTTTTCAAATATTCGGGACCACTTAGCAATTTTAGCTATTTGGTCTGCATACCTTGTAAAATTTTTATCCGTTGACGGGTTTATTTGTCAGTTGAAAACTGAAAATTCGCGTCGCGTTGCCGAATCGCGTCCGGTCTGTGTGGGCAAGACACGTTTGAGAATTTAACTTTGCAAAACTAAAGCTTTTTTGTCTTTTTTGAAACGCATTATTGGAGTATTGGCAAGTTTTACAATTCAGAGATTTACAAACTAATATTGAAACTGTAAAAGACAGTTTCATGTATACGCGCATTCACTGAGTACTGACAACTTATAAGCCATACATTTTCCGATAAGGACAAAACGCTTGTGTAGCCTTTAGTCGCTCTCAGTGACTAATAAATT